GATTAATTTGTAATCTATGAATAATATAAACAATTCAAAATTGTGTATCTTTAAGAGTTAATTTAGCAATCACGATCAGCACACGGTGAAGTTTGATCACAGAGCTGTTTAAGTCTCCAACCTGTGACGATATCTACACGAACAATTCTTGGAACACAGAAAGGGCTAGTTCACTGGATTATAACTAAGGTTTATGGAACCGATTGATTAAAACTAGAACTTCCTGTAACTTATTTGTATAAGACTATGGGTCTCAGTAATTACCATAAAACTCATATCTTATTTATTTAATAATTCTTTGTGATTAATTTATCATTTAAATTAACTCTTAACTTATCCCAATTAATTATTCTATTGTGTATAACCCTTTAGATTCCTAAAACATGTTGACAATAAATATAAATATTAATTCAAATATTAATTGACTTTTGGACATAAAACTAACACCTTTGTGGTCCGAAATTATGGTGGCCATTTTTGCAAGATTTGATACTGCAATGGAATGGAGGACAGGCGACACACCGTATCTTTCATGGCTAAACACATCCAAGTCTTGTGAAAAATAAAGTTATACACGGGACCCTCAAGGCCTCAATACTTCAATACCAAATGCTACTATAATACAATCCCGTTTGGCATTGACAAATTTGGAGTTCTTACTTTTCACTCCAAAAAGGACTGAACAGGAGGAAAACATGCATCACGTGAGAAAGAAAGAAAAAGACTTCGAAATTTGAGGTCCCTTGTTGATTAATAATATTAGTATAGAACCGGCCATGGAATGTTTTTTTCATCAAGACAAGAAGAATTCCGGAGAAAATTAGAGAAGATTCAAGAAGACTCAATTATAGAAATAATAATTAAAAAAAATGCATGGTCGATATACATATAGAAAAACTGGTGTGTTTTGTATTTTTTTCTATTTGTTCTTCCATAAGTTTTTATTATGGGGCCTAGACAGCAAAAGATCAAATTATCGAATATACTTGTTTTATTCTTACGTGTAATACAATGAATGGCTACTGCATATGGGCACCTACTACCGCTTTTTATTTCCGGTTCAGAAATCATTTCAATTTCGTCTATTATTCCACCGTTTTAGTACAATTTTTTATTTTAAAAAATAGACATTAATTAATCATTTCAATTTTCAAGAAAAGAGAGAAAATATGTTTGTCTTAGTCTCGCAAATTAAACTAGTACCTAACACATCACCAGCTCACTAGTTAATGCATTTACAATCAATACATTTCCCAAATTTAATATTCCTAGGAATATTAAATTAATGTGAACTATTTTTTTAGGACGGAGGTAGTATTTTTGCATCCCAATAATTATAAAACCTGGCATTTTCTTCTACACACTCTGAATAGTTTTTTACAATTACCCGACTCAACTTATAGAAAGCGAGGTTTTAGGCATATCAAGGCTTGATATGTAAATTTTGGAAGAAGGCCTAATGAACCATGTAAGTAACTTTCGATTCTAGAGATAGAAGCATTAAGCTTTAAATTCAACCCGTAGTATCTCGGCCGGTCGATGCCCGGGCGGTTAATTAAGAAATTAATGCGTAGAAGGAATTAAAAATATACTGTAGCAAAGGAAATAGCAAAATTTAGTTACATGTATTGTAACTATATATGGTGAAGCAAAATATTTGTCGGTGAAAACATAGAATATAGTAAAGAAATTATTAATTATTATAAGAGGGTGAGGGTCGATACGAAATTATGAATAATAATACAACAAATTAACCCGTTAAAAATATATATTGTCGGTGACCCATTTTGACATTATTTCCAAATTTGGAATTCACTCATCAACGATTGTGAATATCTACTTAATTTGTTGGATACGACTGGAAGGCTCGGTAAAAATCTCTTGGAAAGTTTCTCAATCTTCTCTGCGTGATTGATTTTGGTTCTGTGTTGGTCCCTCATCACCGTATCTTTAATGTGTATGAGTTTCCACATGTGTGTGAAATTGATTTTTTGTATAAGAGATTTTAGGAGAGAAATTATGCTTTTTATAGCTGCCATGTGTTCTTCCTGTCAGCTGTTTTAAGTAGTTAAAAAAAAAATTAAAAGAGGAGAACAATAATCTAATTAAATTAAATATAGTGGCAAGTACATTGCTTTTGTTTTTCCATAAATTATGTATAATTATTTGATTAAGAAAATACATATAGTTCTGTCAGAAATTAAATACTTCTATAGCATCTGCCCCTCCTGATAAGTACCTTTTCTTAATGTTTATACAATATTGAATGCATTGTGTTACGAGTTTGTAATTAATTTTTTTTAAAAGAAAAAGAAATTTCTCTAAAGAATGGAAACTTATAGTTAGTTAATTACTATAATATAATTTATAATTGGAAATATAAGATTCGTCCGTTACAAATAAAAATAATTAGTATTAGCCCAAAAGGGGGAAAGAAAAAAGGAAAAAAAAAAAAGACAAACAAACAATGTATATGCGCATATTTTCAATACAAGACACAAAATATGTCTGTACCCTTAATTAATAGCCACATAACAACTTTATTTCTCAAAATAAATTTTTTTGAATGCAGTGTAACACTGTAACATTCTGGGACTTCTGGCAATGAGATGCACATGCATATATGTTGACGTGATGTATAATTATATATGTAGCTGAATGCCAAAATGAATCATTGTCAGCAATGGACCGCGTTTTTTTCCTCCCCCTTTCAAATTTCTTAGCCACATTTAGATTTTTACATGTTATAAAAAAAAAATTGGGAGTACCATAACCATTTACTAGGAACTTCCTCCTGGCCTTATTATAAGGTATACTGATATGTTATACGTTTCACCTAATATGATTTTATAATAGGAAAAAAAAACTTAAAAATATTTCATAATAATTAAGAGGACACAATGAATAAGAAAAGGTATTTTAAGATTTTTTATTCAAAAAAAAAATTACTATGTGAAATAATGTATTTTTAACGTTTTTTCTTCAATAATAAAAAAAAACCTTACTATATGAAACTTAGAATAAATCAAAATGTCTTATAATAAGGACTCGGAGGGAGTATATTTATTTGCAATGTATATACTTCTTGAAGGTATTGAATCAGTTGTTTGCTGGCTTTCCTTGAATCTGGAAGACAGGAAGTGATAGCGCCATTGAGATGATACTTCAAGAACTATTCCTCAGGATCCAAAACTAATGTTTAACGTAATTTATGCACAGAGAAACTGAAAAAAGAGTGGAAGGAAGGATAAATAAATTAACAGAAAGCAAATCCATCGGTTATTTTGGTCTTGAGCAGCATACATGTGTGTTTGTTATGTTTGGCCGAAACATTCCAGTTCTTGTACAAGAATGTTAACTGACGGTTGATCTACCCATTAAATAAAATTAATACTTGGGCATGTTGTTAAAAGATCCGTGATGTAATCGAAATCAGATTTTTGTTCTAATACGTCATGCACCCACAAATCAATAAGTATATTAATTTCTGGATATATCATGAAATGCATAGTATCTCCATAGTCAAAACATCAAGTTGATTCACAAGTTATAGTTCATAACCAGATGACAGTATTCTCATACTGTCAATTGTTAGTGGACGATGTTTTGGACAAGATTAATCAAACTGGAATGCATCTTTATTTCCAAAAAAGTAACAACAATTGCACTCATTTGAGCATTATTTCAACACAGAAACATCATTCACATTCCAAAAATTTCCTGAATTTAAGACAGTAGTAATAGAAACTCAAATGGAAATGCTGTATGGAACCCCTTTAGCAGTCACTCCTTTCTCAGAAAATGGTTTCAGAAGCTCATATGGCACCACGCCGGCGCCGCTCCGGTTCCTGAGGTTTTCGTCAATGTTTCTTCTGTCGATTTCGGCTTCAAGCTCTTTCAAACGCCCCTGGAACTTCTCAAATGCGGACTTTATGACTGGATCCGTTACCCAAGCGGGCTCTATTATGTCTCCAAGGTATTCCTCATCAGGCGAATGAGACGACAGGATATGAAGAACCGCCATAACCGTAGTTGCCTGTAATTGTGAAGGGAAGCAAGTCAGGAGCTCCAGCTCGGGCCGCCTCATGAACTGTTTCTTTTTCTCCTCACTCGGGAATTCAGTTGGCATTGTGGTTCTCGCAATGGTTGGCCGGTTTGGAAAATATCCCGCGTAGTCGTATTGCCCGAAGTTTACAGCGGCATGGTGCCCAGAAGTGACCCAAATCATGGTTGTTACAATGCCTATTAGGTCCTCAGGGGTGTTTAGGACAGGCCACCAGGGCTCATCTTTCTTATCACCATGTCCAACTGTTCGGATTTCGGTCCACCAGGCTTGAAGTTCCTCATCAGATTTTATGGATTCTGCCTTAGGATAATAGTGTTTGACATAAGCTGTTACCCACTCTCTAAGGTATCTCCAAAGGAGTAATCCATCATTTGCATAAGGGTAATCTGTAATTGTTAGTTTTAAATTATCAGGATCCTCTGGAGTTGGATCTGGCTCTGCCATTCCCCTGCAACCCAATACAAAACTTATCATTTACTTTTGGCATTGAGTAAAAAGTTCTGTAATTTCTGTTTGCCAGCTTGTATTTCTAATTTCTTTGTAGATAAACACAAGAAGGTACCTGTTAATAAGGTCTGCCGGAAGGGCTTGGTAATCGAATCGCCAAAGCTTATCGTAGGCAATAGCACTGAGCTCAGTAGAGTACTTCATTGGGGTAAATGACTGTTCAATGATTCCATCAGCATTGATTAGTCTAAGACGAGCCAAAGCATTGATCTCCATTGTGTACCGGAAGTGAGGGCTCAGTAAGCGATAGATTGGATGCATTTCGCTAAGTTGACGCTTGCTAGCTATAATGTAGGGTTCTGTGCAACAATGAGTCCTCAACCTACAACAGAACACATAAAATCCATAAAGCATATTAACGTTTACTAAACAGTTCAACATACAAGACTCTTCTGTTTCCATATAGTATGATAAAGTTATGGCGTACCAGTGACTAACTAACTGGTGAATACCAGAGTCATGAGCAAGCACATGTGCTCTAGCAAGCTTCCATAGCCACATACGAGTTGAACTCCAAGTAGGTGTGAAAACTTCCTTATATTGAGGCCTTCCATCAATTGGAGGGCAAACTAGTTCTATGGCAACAGGAGTCAATGTATTATCAGGGGTCAAGTAAAATAGAGTCCTTGATCCATATAGTGTTGTGCCTTCCTGTTTTCTTACTCTCTCCACATATGGTAAAAGTATGTCATGATAATCCAACATGAACAGCTTCTTTTGTTTCAGGGCCTGCATTATCAATGATTCATTCAATTGATTAGGTAAGTTAAAAAGAAAATTTCCAATGTACAAGTTGGTGTCTGAGGATTCGTATAACAATGTGGTTAAGGAAATGAACATACACGCGTGAGCTCGTAAAGATAAGATGAAGAACAATGACAATTAAAAAATCACTAGTGCATTTATTAAATAGTGTTTGCAGTGTCATTCACATTGATGGTTACTGTGATGGAAAACATTGTGATCAAAATCTAACTTACGGTTGACATATCAGTCTTTATAGATATCCTTGTTATTTTGCTCGTTAAAATCACCGCTTATGATATTATATTTTAGCTTTCAAGATAGATCATTTTGATGATTTCATCACTTAATTTGGAGCATTTCATTCAATGATGTGAATTTTCTGGGATTTAATCATTTTCACTACCTCTTCAACGGTGAAAACACCTTTAATTTGTTGCTCAACCAGTTCTGTTGTGATGGCTGACTCTGCGGGTCCATACACCTTTGGGTCCAGTTTGCTTTTCAATGGCCACTCCTGAACATTCAAATAGTTGGATATTTTGTTAGATAAAATGAAAAATTTTAAATTAAACACCTGACCTCAATGTAGGCTTTTAATTAATCCAACTTTTTTTTTGGTCCACTCCAATAAGTCCTTCAGCCCTTGGATTGGACATGTAGTAGAAAATGGCTTATCAACAATTACCTTCACCAACTCGATGCAACATGGATTTAAACCAGCTAGGGTTTGACGAGAAAATTCCACATCTCTCAGCCATCCAAATTTATCCCCTGAAATTAAAAAACTAACAAAGTTTTAACTATTTCCTACATTGCGAAATAAAGGAAAATGTAAAGGATTCAGAAGAATATTAATACTAGTGTAAAAGGCCTCAAGTGGTTTACTATCCTGTTATTCTATTGATATAATAATCTTTGATAGTGACTGATGTGTCATCTACTCATTATTAAATAATTATAGAAAGATCATTTAATATCATAAATGAAATGTTACAGAAAGAATAATAATCACGTACTGTCGACAAATTGGGGAGTCTCGAAGAGCAAGACATGATTTCCAGTGTCGGCCATAGCTTTGAGAAGGTTTGGAATAACGTCGAAAAGGGTCTCATTCACCGATGGGATGTGAATTCCTTCGTTGAAAAGGGAATCAATTTCTGTAAAATAAGGAAAACCCTGGTCCCTGTTCTCGATAATACCCTCAAGTGCTGGGGCTATTACGTGCAACAATGAGTAGGCTGTGGTTGTCGTAAACGTTCCACCCTTTATTTCCGAGAATTGTTCATCTCTTGGGACATACACATTGTTACTCCTTGATTCAGATAAGGGATCTGAAAAAAAAAAGAAGGAATAATCATCAATAATTTTATGTATCTTTTAAACACAATTATGTAGTTTTTTCACGTTCCATGCACCAAGGAATCACTAACATCGGTCACAGAATAATAGTTGAATAGCTTATAGTACTTTAAAGGTTTTCATATTATATATATATATATATGTATATATATTTTAGTGACCAAATGCCACTTAGGATTTGTTTATTCAATTTTGTCACATGGATGTACTCTCTGCATAATAATTTTCTCGTAATACTCAAATTATTTTTCTAGGACAAAAGAAATATTTTAAAACGTACCTTTCTTGGATTTAGGCCGGCCAGTCCTGCAGCGTCTTGGGTAAGGATATTGTTTATTACCACCAAGAACTGGTCGAGCCAAATCTGGATTGCTATCGGGGTCGCCAAGATCGTTGTACACATCATAATCATAAATTCTATCCCAAGTCTTTCGTTCTCCCGTTCCATCTCCTCTAAGGTTTTCAATCTCCTTTTTCCTATATCTCTTCAGTCCACTTGGAGTTTCAGATGGTACATACGACTGCAAGAAATCAAGATTTATTAATGTTGTACTAAACCGTAACTCAAGTGTTATGAAAATAAGCACCATAAAATGAAAAAAGAAAATGTCTAGAAGCGTAGTTGTATGATAAAGTTGAGTTAACTTATTATGCTCAAGCTATCTAATGCACACCACGATTATTGTGGAATTGCTATATACAAAAAACAAAAAAAAAATTATAATTCCTCTGTCCAAAAAAAATAGTCCATATTGAGTTTTAAAATTTATATTATTTTTAGTACAAATAGTAGGCACTGTTACGGGCTCCCCTATATGATCAGTACATTTCTTTCTTTATCTGAAAAAATAGACAAATTATATTAAACTAAAACGGTATATTTAAGTGGATTAATTTTTCGGAAGGAATGGAGTTCAAAAATTTGCCCTAAAAAATTGAATGTCACCACATGAAAATATTTTAATGGGCCATCAAAGAAAGCGGTGATTAGATTAATGATAGCCTGATGGTTCTGGATTTCTTGAGACTGATATGTGGGAGAAAAATTCTTGTGGTAGGATCTGAACAAATTTTCAAGACAGAGATGCTCCAAAAAAAAAAAAAAAAGGGAAAAAAAGAAGACAGAGATGGGAACTAAACAGTGAAGGTTAAATGTACACTTCCATGTGTATGGAAATTATTGGAACGTTTAGATCTTCCAAAATCTCTTTCGCTTTCTGGAATATCAATTTAATTATGATGATTGGACATGAATGAAGATAACTAAATTGTCTCTTTTCCTTTCCCAAAATGATACTACCAATTCATTTCTAAATTGGAAACTTTAAGCATTAGTTGGATGGTGATTGCAAATGAAGATAATAAAGCTTCTTTTTCTTTCTAAAAAAAAATGGAACTCAATCAGCCATAAATATAGCAAAATGATATCAATCACACACTAATTTGTTTTCGTTTTTACCATAGCAATACTTACCAGATTGTCACATCTGCTTTGACACAAAGTCATTGTAAATTTGTCACTGATAATAATATCATGAATTCTACCAAGCGTTTTCCAATATAGTGGTAGAATTTCTTTCTGAGAAAGAAACCCCACCATGGAACATTGTATCTGTTAAACAGTATTTATGTTTTTCAAGAACAATACAGAGAAACAGGAAAAGTTTGGCTTATGTCTTTTACGTGCACGTAACTAAGACTACAACTAGGCCTACATTTACTGTCCGATTCTAACTAAACCTGTAGAATTGATTATGAAAGTTTTGACGTATAATACCCAAAATTAAGTTTTTATCAAATTAGTAATAACGTTAGAAATGAATTAAAAGCTCATTTTCCTCTGGAAGAGTTTGAGTACTCCCTTCGTCCCATAATTATTGTCCAAAAATGAGGTTCTCATATTTGTGTTCATGATGAGTATCTTAACAACTTTTTTTAAGAAAAAAAGTAGTTAACATGATTATGTATGGCCTTTTCAAAATTATTTCAGTACTAGTACATTAGAAGACTTAATGAAACCAGTCAGTTTATTAATTTTCAATGAGGAAGTTTCTCATTTTGTCAAATAACGATTGTATAATCACATCACGTAACTTATAAAATTAATGATGTCACCTACATGTGAATAACTAAAAACTAAAAACACCATTAGAGTGAAATTCCAATGAGATTTAATTTTCGGCCTTCAAATATATGTTAAAAGAAAAAGGAACAAACCAGGACCACTAAACAAAAAAGGGGACCGTCGAATCCTAGGACCAGCACAACGTACGAACCCTAAAAGTACTGTGAAACAAAATCAACAATTACAACAAAAGAGAATCAAATTCATCATGTGCGTACTAGGTTTTCCATGAACTTTTACGACTATATGCATGTTTTTTGTTTTACTGCTGAGAAGAGATTCATAATTTTCATTATGACTATTATATAAACGTATACATGCAATTAGTTTACACATTAAAAAATCAGTCAAGTGATGGAGAAATGGTGAATATTAATTCAAGTTTAGAAGATTCTTATCTAATTTCAAATGAATATCATCTTTCCAAGGCTTTCTTTTTCCCTAACTCGTGAATAAATTATAAAGAAATATATATCACATTCAAATTAGTCCCAATGTAAATTCATTCCATTTTCAATCATGAAAAACATTGACAATGATTGAAGATGGTGAAATCGAAGTGGCCTACATAGCTAGATAGCCAGCTAGCTGGTCCATCTTCATGGAAAATTGATAGGTTATGCGCATCATATTTGCTGTTTTTTGGCATCTTTCCCGTTCGATAGATTTTCCCATAGTTAGTATAACAAACAAAAGAAATTCAATAGGGCGGCGAGTTTGTGTTTCTGATATTGATTTCATCGAATTATCTTTATAATTTTGAAAGGACCGCCATATTCTCTAGGCTTAACGTGCTTCCTAATCAATACTCTCGAGATGTAACTTGAAGGGGTATCCTTTATGTCATTGTTACTCCGTCCGCCTTAAAATAATTGTCATATTTATGTCATTCTAAATATTGCAAGGAAAACAGATTATTTTATTTGTCTCTAAATAATTGTCATATTTATTTGACTAAATATTACCATTATTTTGTGACAGGAAAGGTTATTCAACTTTATCGTCCACCAATCAGTACTCATTTATGTTCCATACACCTCTCCGATTTGAAAAACTATCAATCAAAACATTCCATTCCAATCATTTCCGTGCCAAAAAAAAGAAGGAAAGGAAATAAAAAAACTACTTTAAATAATCATATATAAAAAAAAAACAAAAGGTATGCAGAAGAAGAAATTATATATACTAACCTTGGTGCTGAAGAAAATTCTCTTCTCTCCTTTAGCTTGAGATTTGGTAGCAACCCAAGACTCACAGCTAAAAGTAACAGGTCCAGTTAAGAACCCATCCAAGACAATCTCCTTAACAAACATTTCAGAATGGTGCTCATTCTCAAACAATATTGCTCCAACTTCCCCGAATTCCTCCGATATGTCGAAATCCGCCTCATACACCATCTCCTTCATTGAATTTTTGCTTAATTTCCCTAGCGCCTTGAGGGTCGGCTTCTCGTCTCCATTACCTTCAAAATTATAATTATTAGAACTAATACAAAATGTAAAATCCGTATATGATGTACTTAAAAAGTAATTATTAATTGAAAACAAGAAAAAAAAAATCAAACTTAGAAGACTAATATTGATAAACGAATAAAATTAAGCTTAGAGAAGACTAATTAAAAGTTTGTTTTAAATTAGGTGAAATTCTTAAGGGTTAACTTGATACTTAATCAAAATCCCTAGGGACATTTTAGAAAGTTTCTTAATCATTTGATAGGTTTGTAAATAGTTAGTGTCCATGTAGCTTGCATATCTTAACAGTATTCTATGGAGGACCGCGAAAATGATATATATTCTGAATCTGACATCTTTACTAGTGAAATTATTGCTTAGTAGATGAACTAGGTCGTAGGTCAACAAACTAGGTATATTTTTTCACAGTCCGATGAAAATCGACGTGGTCCAAACAAAAGTAGAACATAATTTGGAGCAGTGCTATTATTTCAATCTAAAAAGAAATTTCTTGTTTGGTTATCACATATTAGTTTAATACAAACAGGACTCACAATCAAATTTCTGAAGGAGTAATATATTTCATATTTCAGGAAGTATGGTTGGTGATTTCAATTTTGCTGTAAGGATTCATGGAGTTACGGTTGGACTAAGATTATGTAATTGGCCAAAATTTAAAATAAGTGAAAGATAATCCATCAATCTCCCTTAATAACTTCTACAATTTTCAAAACCAAATTTAATGAAAACATTTTCAACATCCTAGCAACTACTCCCTCCGGTCTTTATTATAAGGTGTTTTGACTTTTTGTAGATTACACTTAGTACACATTTTTAATTGATAAAAAAATCTTAAAAATATATTTTCACATTCGTTGTGTTCTCTTGATTGTTATGAAATATTTTAAGGTTTTTTTATCGCTTAAAAATGTGTACTAGGTTAAATCTAAGACGAATCAAAATGTCTTATATTAAGGACCGGAGGGAGTATATCTAGAGAATGAACTATAAAAATGGACTACTTAACAATTTATCAAAAATTGAATAATTTGTCTATCACTTAATAAAATTAAAAATTAAGCCGGTAGCATTGAGAAATTGATGATAAATAATTCATAAAACTGCAGTTTATCGTGCTTTATTTTTTAAAATTAATTTATAATTTCCACAAAAAAAATCCCTTGTGCTTAATCTATTAATTATTTTATGTACTTCCAAAAGTGTTTTTTTTTTAATATTTTTTTTGGGTACTTTGAAAAGTTTTAAGCCAAAAACCAAAATCTTTTTATTACAAAAATTAATTTGATGGACTTACTATTGTCAAGTTCAGCAGCAACGAGTTCTAATTGGACACCTCCGACGAAGACGTCAGTTATATCATCCAATCCTTTTGTTAGACCTAAACCTACATTCGCCACCACTCCTTCCACCGTCGGCGATTGAACGGTGACAATCGCCTTAACACGTGTACTCTTTTCAGTGGAGGCGACCGTTTTGGTATTGTAAACCGCCGGTGCCCTAGTTCTAGATGCATCATCATCCCGGAGGCCATTGCGAATCTTGTTAACCTTTAAGGTCTTTTTTACTGAAGTCGCTTTTCGGCCAAAATTGTTGGAACTAGAAGAAGAAGAAGTGGTTATGCATCCATTGCCAGAGAAGAATGGCTTTTGCCAAGAAAATAATGTTATTGGTGAGGTATGATCATGAATTATTTGAGGTTTCAGCATTTTTTTTTTTAGAAGAAAAATAAGGGTTTGTTAATTTTGGTTTCTGATTTCAGGCTTTTTTTGGGTTGTTGATAGCTGAGAAGGAAGCCCTCTATTTATAGTATACAACTCCACCGGACCATACCAAATCATGGGAATCAATAATTGTTTTTCCGTACGAAATTGATGTGAATCTATTTTCTATTACGGAATTTATTTATAATCTTTTTAAATTTTCCTTCTCAATGATTTATAATTGTTAATACTTTTCGGCGCCTTATGCACTTCTTAATTATGCTCATTGTAATAGCCTCCTTAATTTAATGTAGGATTTCATAGGTGATTGTCGAAACAGATGGGAGGAGGGTCTTGCCAACACACACAATATACTCATACTTAAACCCTTTGTTTTTTTACTACCGTATACTTAAACCAGGAGAGTTTAAAAAACAAATGCCAATGTTCATAAAGATTGAAATCCAAATGCTATTTAAAAAGAGATTTCGGTCGAAAATTTAAAAGTATTCTACTCAAATACAATAAATAAATAAATAAATAAAAATAATAAAATAAAACAAGAGCCTCGTAATCTATCTATATACTATACTAAGGCAAAAATCAGACAGAGAAAACTAAAGGCATGGAGCACATGCCACATATGATTTAATTTTATGTGGCATTTTGTTAATTTCTTAGACTTAAAAATGCACAAAACAAAATAATAAAACAAAAAAAAAAAAGTAACTAAAATATTTTTTTAAAAAAATAAAATAATAAAAACCGAACCCTTATTTTCATGAACCAAATCCTAACACAGAGATTGATGGAGAGAGTACCAAATCCTAACAAATTTTAGAGAGATCTGCATAAACCTTGTCACCAGTGAATTTAAAATGTCATTTAAAAAAAAATTTCTGTAAACCCAGAAGTAATTATGTTTAAAACTGAAATCATTACATATTTTATAAAAATACAAAATTTATATAAAAATGTCTAAATATGTATGCTTCCCCGTCCATCGGACGGGTCTAACACCTAGTGGATTACTAAAACATATCATGAGAAATGAATTATTATCCGTAGGACATATGTAGAAGTCAATCATTCACTTATGGGTGGTAAATTTTTATTTACATTCGAACACCTGTGAATAAATTAGTCAAACTACATATTCCTGAAAGTCCATTTTTTTTAAAAAAAAATTTATAACGTTTTTTTAGAAATAGTGTATCTGTATATGAAGAAACTTTCGGAGAAATTAGGCCTTTAAATTTTATAAAAATGCACAAATTAAAACAACCGAAAAAAAAAGAATGTATCTCAGACTACAATGCGATAAGCATACATAAATTAATACGAGTACTCTTGGACCTAAAAGTGCCAAAACAAATTAGATCCACAAAATGTAACCATATATAGGAAGCTCAAAGCATCTTTGTATGGCTCGTGTGTGTAATCTAGATTTAATCTGAGTTAGTAGGACTTTTTTTTTTTTTTGTTAAATTCATAACGGTATCTGACGGATATTCTCAGATTTTATTAATGTTAAAATATTAAATATATAAGACGTACGTGAAACTTACATAGAGGAAGAGACTGCCGTAGTACATTAATTTGCTCTCCCATTGTTTTAAATTGATATGTTAGTAGTTCAAATATAAAAAGTTTGAAACTATATTTGCCGGATGCGATATTAATCTCGATTTCAATATATATACTAAGCACTAACAATCTACCAATTACCAAGTCCAATCCCGTCAAGTGATAAAGTGAATTTGTGGAGTAAAATAGTTCAGAGAAGAATAATGGTGCCATATTTATTATCTCTAGTGTTGAAAAGGGAAGTGTAATAAAACAAACAAGTACATAACTTGTCACTTATATTACATTATTCTCCTAGTCAATTGTAATGCCTAAATTCAAATTTATTATTTTTATTTTAAAATAAAATTATAAGCTTATCTTTTTGTTTTGTAGGTCTAATAATGCCCCTTTTGTGGACTCTTGAGCAAAATTGCATGAAACAAAAGGCTGGGAAATAATGACCCTCTCATTTCTATCTTCAAACGAGCCGACTCTCCGTGTATCAATCTCTCTCCACCGAAAGAAGTCGCACATATTTTTCATGTGAATTGAGATAGCTAATGATGGACCACAGTACGTGTTCAATTTGCGGCGATCTATTCAAAAGGAAAGTTAAATAGTTAAAAATTTTTCACGTATCTGTATTTAAACTTTGGCATAAACATGCACCAGTGATTAAACTATTTGTTAGTGAATTAAGATTTTAAAAAATCTATTCAATTCGAATTCAGATTAGTTTAAGCAATGACTTAAAATATAACAAAAAAAAAGAAAAAGAAAAAAAATAGTAATACGCCTCATTTAATTTTGGTAACACTGCTAAGAATTTGAAATAGATAAACCAATACTCACTGCAACACCATGCAAATTATCATACGAAATAAACTATTTTAGGCAAATTTTGGTTTACGGAGTGGCGTTTGTATTTTAAAATTTTTGCTATGGCATTGATAACTCATTTAGAACTTTTATATAAAATAATCCTCTTTCCATTATTATTGTACTATAATATAAACCTATTCGTGTTAGGGCAATTTCCAAATTAACAAAATTTGGTTATCTATTTGATATTAAGAAACATAAAAATGAATTGATGATAAAAGGTATAAAGTTCTCTAATACTCAAATTTCTTTAAACATAATAAAAATTTAGATATTAATGGGTTTCAAGAGCCAAAGTGTTTTCAAGAATGTGTATGTAAGTATATCTAGAAGAAAACCCTTCAGCTGATCTACTAAAAGAGTTAATCATTTTACAAATGTACGTATTAACTGCAATTTGTATCACGTAAACCAATTGTTAAAATTCCCTTTGAATAAAAAACAAGTGAAAAACATGTGTTTCACATGAAAAGATGAAGACACTTGAAACTAATATATAAATCTCATGTATTCTTTCACTTATTGCGAATTCGTTTTGATGTGAAACAACGTATAAACTTATATTTAGACCATTAAGATAATATCAGAGTGACTTTTAACCTCGTAAACTTTGTGAGTGGATACTGACCGATCCAACAGTTAATCCGGAACAACTATTAAAAACCCAAAATGGATTTTCGAATAAACCAAACCCGAAACAGGTCTTCAAACAATCCCAAAACTCTGAAATAGACCTGCAAATGAAAACCAAATCCGAAATAGGATTCAAAAATAAAAAGTTTCAATGGTTAAAAGGGGCTTTATCCAGTATTTTTGGGGTTGAGAGAGGGTGTTAAAATTTCTTTTAAACAAAAACTAAGTGAAAGACACATTTGTCCCGTATGAAAAGATGAAGACACTTGACACCAATCTAAAAATCTTATGATATTCTCTTTATTGTCAATTGATTTTAAGGTGAAACTAAATGTAAACTTATATTTGGGGTTTTAAAACCAGTGACTGTAAGCAATGCTTCAGCAGAAGAAGGAATTCCAAACAAAAAATTCTATGAAATTTTCTACCTAAGATAAAAAATTTCACAGAAAAAATTTTAAATGTATTTGCTGTTTTATCCACTGAAACAGATTTATTAGAAGAAACTGATAATGAAGCTATGAGCACTATTTTCCTTATGTGATAATATATTTTGTTTAGAATGAAAATAACCAGGACTGGTAGATGATTTGCCAAAGATATTTAGTACTTCCATTGAAAATTCTTCACTAAGAAAAGACCAAACGATTATGTTGCATACAGGTTTTGGTAAATAATATTGGCGGATCTTTAGTTTATCGTTTTCACTGTACTATCTTTACGTTAAAATTAAAATTAAACAAAAGGATGAAGTTTAATTGAAAGAGTTAGTGTTAAGCTTGGAAGTTCAGTGAGATGAATATAAGTGACACAACGTTAACTTCCTCTACAATAGAAAACGTAATTAAAATGTCAAAATCCCGCGTGTAGTACACTGTGCTGGAAAAGAATCGTAATATAACAGAGTGATTTAACCACAACTCGTCTCCATGCGAAGAATTATACTAACGTTAAAACTTCCCTAAACCAATTGATGTCACTCATAAGAAATATTCTTTCCATTCGAAAATTTTATTAGTAAAAATTTAATTTTATTACCAGATAAACAATTACGTACAGACTGTTCAAACAAGTTCGGAGGGATGAAAATTACAATAGAAAGAAGCTGAGAACACTATGATGCATGTTGTATTCTATTGACTACCAATGGACTAAGACTTAGTCTATTACACTACAATATAACTTTCTGGGAGTTAGAAATCCTTTCTATCGAACCGAATCTAATTTTCAAATAAAAAATAATCTCTTGAATCACTTTAGCCACAACCACAGACTCATTTTTTAAAATAATCTTAATCCTAGCCTTCCAAATGTAGTAGACTGAGACACACCAACAAACTTTCTTAGCTACACTTAGAATGTCATTTTTCCATCTTAGAATATGATGCCTGATAGCATTACATGAACATGGACTTCCCATCCATTAAACATTCAAAAATTATTATTTAGTTTAAATTGTAATTTTTATTTTAATTTATGCAAAAAATAAAGTTGAACTTCAAACAAATATGAGTCCCTTCAACTATAGCTGCTCAGCAGCTTCTTTATGCTTCGGGTCTAACTCTTAATGGATGCTAACAAGAATGCACCATCATCGTCCCCAAATGCAACCTTAATTGACTACTCCTTGGCTAAATTTTAAGATATCACAATGATGATTCATATTCGTCATTTCAAATGCAATTGATACATAAACGAGGGTGGCTCTTCTCCAAAGCCAAAAGTCCAATTAATTTACACTGAAAATTCATGGAACGCAAAGACAAAATAAAGAAGGGACCATCAATAAATATTGTGAAAAAAATTGCGTCAATCATCCATCAGTTATTCGAAAACAGAAAAAAATAAAAATATATAGATCACGTGTGTGCGAAATATATATATATATATGTGTATATATATATAATATACATATAAAAGAA